CTAGGAACAAGAAGCTACTAGGGGCTCCTGGCATCGCTACTAGGAGCGAGGACGCTACTAGGGGCTCCTGGCCTTACTACTTGGGAGCAATTTTCGCTACTATGGGCTCCTGGCATCGCTACTAGGAACAAGGACGCTACTAGGGGCTCCTGGCCTTACTATTAGGAGCAATGTTTGCTACTGTGACCCAATTTAGGTACACATGACTCATGACCGTTTGTGTGCAAAGGAGTTCCAGCTACAGCTACGTGAACACTCCACAACTGTCCTGTCGTCATTGTCCGGCCCTGTCGGTCCTGTCAACCCGTCCAAATGAGCAAACAAATGCAACAAGTGTCTGTGTTTGGTGACTGACTTCCCACAAATGTACCCATCTTTCATTCGGCTTGCCCGCAAATAATTAACATGATCCCATAACATGAGCCTTTTTGAGCGAGCGTTTCGTGAAGATATATTGATGGGGGCGTGTGGTGTGTGGTGCGACCACAGGAATTCTCGATCTGACTGCCAAAGAGGACGCGCAGGTTCGATTTTGCAGTAAGCTACTCGGAGTGGCTGTGAGGCTGCTCATTCTTGCGGTACTTACTGGAACAGCAGGAGTGTTGGAACATCCGGCCGAGGATGAGCTTGATGTGACCCAACCCTCAATCTGGAAGCTGGCCATTTTCAAGATGTTGTTGCGATTTAAGGCGTGCAAACGTGTCCGAGTCCTTCAAGGATACTACGCTGCTCATGCAGTGAAGCCTAGAAATCTCTGCCTTGTGAATGTCAGCGGGAAAGCTGAGGAGATGCTCCTAAGTGCCAGGTGCACTGAGTGGCCACATGTTGCAGCAATAGGCAAGAACACAAACGCGGGGTGGCATGGTACCAGATTAAAGGAGTATCCGCCGGCCTTTTGTGAGATCCTTGCCAGGAATATTTGCAAGAGCCAACCCCGACCCGCGGAATTCGTTCCCATCCCGCAGTAGTTTGTCTGTGTGATGAGCTTACTTCTGCTCTTGATACTGAAGCTACGATGGGGAACGATTACTGTGGGAAAACCACATAATAATAATTACATGCATATGCGGCCACAAAGCGCAAGAGAAAGATGAGAAAAGATGAGAAAAGTAGATTTCGATTTCAACGGACGCTCTCTCCCAGCTTTGTCGCCTTGCCAAAAGCCTTGCAAACTCAATCTCGGAAATTCGATTGTCTCCGTCCTGGTCCGCACCTCAGCATCTCCACGACAAACAGTTCACCAAACAGAAACAATGGTGTGAGATGGAAGACAAACATGTGCATGTTACAGCCAAGGTAAGATTCAAGCGCTTTGCTCGACTGTCTATACTTGAAGCCTCTGCTCTTCGAGTCCAAACTATATTAGGATCTACTGTAATTAAGCTGCTAATGCTTGTTGCCTACCTCCTCACAGCATACCCCTCCCCCCCCGTCCTGCAAAAAGAGAAACGAGTATATAAACGAGTCACATAGTAAGTGCTTGAATGCGTCAACACTTAGCACAGGGGACATCTTTAGCACAGGTCACATCATAGGTCACCGGAGCTCTTTCCTCTCACCTTCTGATTTTTCGAGAGAGAAATGCAGGGTCATCTGCAAGCGTTTGTAGAACTGCGTTTCAAGCCAACTTGGAGCTTCGGCACATCCTTCCGTGATCATTTCCCAAAGAACATTCTTGGCAAAGTCAACATCGAGCTGTTTTCGCTCCTCAGTGGCAAAGGACTCAGCGAGGAATCGTAAATTCAATTCGGTCAGAACAATCACATTTGAAGCGGCGAAGCGTCAGTCTTGTCCTACCTCCGAAGCTAGTGTTGTTCTTGAATTGGAGACTTTCTGATCCACAACCTTTTGGTCTTGGCAAACAAATCTGGTCGCCTGTCGAACTTGTCCGTGGTTCAGAGGCAAACAAAATCCCTTCTCAACCTTTCCTGTCCAGCCACAAAGGTCGCCACGGTCTTCACTGTCTCCACCAGAATACCTACCTCATCACATCTGTCGCTGGAAAGCTGCTGAAACCAACTCCTGGAATCTCCTGGGTGAGTCCCTCAGATTCAATATTAGGACCTTAGGAACTATTTATTAATTGTTAACCCCTGACACGATCATTTCTTAAGGGAAATGTTTGAGGCATGTATGTCTTGTCTGAATGACATCAATGACAGATTTGGGGTGGAGCCTCCATTGGGTGGCGAAGGACATTTGCTTCATGGTTACTGGAACAGGTTCCTTGAGGTGTAGGCGTTGTGCTCTCCACAGAGTTTATATTTTAGCTGACCCTCTCCTAAAGGAATGACACGAGTTGACACGAGTATTCTGTTTCCTTTAGCCCGCTCCTACTAAGTAGGCACCTACTTAATGAAGTGGGGGAGTTCGCTCCTAGCTAGGAGCAGGATAGCTCACGCTTCTTCAAGGAAGCTCCCCGCCTAGGGCGAGGGGGAGCTTCCTTGAAGAAGCGCTCGCACTAATCATGTGGTTCCATGTGGTTCCTAGATTTTTGGAGCACTGGCTACGGCAATGGATGAGCACTTCTGTAAGGATAAAGTAGTATATGCAGCACTGCTTTTGTCCATTCCAGTTGTGCCTACATAGTGAAGCGAACATGCTGCAATCACGTAGCACTGTGGATGCGACCTCACCTGCTGGTTTGCAACAACCCTTCATGTGTGTATATAATAAATTTGTGTGTTTCCTGGATATATTTATATACAGACAGTAGATACAGTACATTATAATACATTTATATGTAGTATATGCATCTCTGTTTAGCCGAATTGCTAAAAGGCCCATCATGATGTAGGTACCAAACATGATGAAGGTCAGCCACAGAACTCCTGGCGGTGCAAGGCAATGAAAACCCCAGCACTGCCGCGGCGCCTGCGTTGATTACCTGCGTTGATGTATGTGCCACCGCATGGACGGCATGGACTGAAGGGTAGTTTGTTCATGTGCGTTGTCCAGTCTTGGGAGACGCTCACTTGGCTTGCCTATTCTGCCACACAACAAAATGGCATTAAAATATATTAAAACCATGCTGAACATCCGAGGCTGCTCCAATGTTGCAGATATCCTACTGAAACGTATATGGATGTTCCGTGAGAATTTGCAGACCTTCCAGATACATCCCAAATACTGTACATGCTTTGTCTCAACTCATGCGAGATTCACGTCTACGCATCTACGTTTTGGTGTTGCACATCTCAATGATAGAGCCAATCCGAAAGCCAAGAGGCTGCACGCTTCTGTTTTGCTATGCTTTTGGGGCAAACATCCTGAAAATCCAACTTGCGGGGTCAAAAGCCGTGGCCAACTCCAACCCTCCCGGGTTTGTTTCATCTTCGAACGCTCCTATGAACCAGTTCTCTGCCTCGGCTGCTTTCGGCCAGCAAGGCGACACGGCTGCTGGTGATCTACGTTATATTATATAAGTGGAATAAGTCCCAAATCAACATGCTAGTAGCAACAAGCTAACAAGCTTCTTGCTACTAGTACAAATGCCATTGTTACTAGTAGCTTCTTGTTCCTGATAGTAATGCCAGGAGGTACTAGTAGCTTCTTGCTACTAGTAGAAACGCCCTTGTTGATTGGGTGTAAAAAAATACGTATCCAAGATGTAACAACAACAACAATAACAACAACAACATTGATACACATCTTAAAAAATAATGATAAAACATCACGATCATCCCGTCAGATCTTAGATAATTCTCGTCAGTTATACATACTATATCATACTATATCACAGTTCTGAGATGTTCTGAGTGTCTTTCTATCTTTTCATCCTGTTTCATCCTTATGACCCCGCCATGCCGAGGTACTGCTGCATCCTTGAACTTGGCCTCGAGGTCCGGCATGACGCATTGCACAATCAGAGTTAGAATTGTGCCGCCCATCCCAGGAAACCTGCCGCTGCGGTCGAGGTCATTGATGGAAACAAGATCTGCGAAACCAGAGCTGCCAAAGGTGCCAACAAGGGAACTCAAAAGGGAGTATTGACCAGACAGAAACTTAGTGTCAAGGGAGGAAACCTTGAAAATCATTGCTTTTAGATTCTCTCTCTCTCTATATATATACAGTATATACAGTCTAATTATGCTTGTTCTCTGACTGAAGATTCCCGAGATTCCCACTTGAGCTATGCAATTTGGTGAAATACGCAACATCAAACAAACTCACAGAGCCTAAGCCCTGAGCATAGCATCTAGTTTCCAGTTCATCGTAACAATCACGCATGTGTGCAGCTCCGGGGCGTTGTTTGCAGCTTGGGCAATGCATTACACACGATTTCATACAAACCCCGGCTTCAACATCAATCTGTCGTTGCCATCTTGAGGAGTCCAAGCAAACCTCTTGCAGAGGTTCTGAAACCAATATCATATTAAGAAATTAATAGAATTTAGATAATGTATGATAGATGAACATGACGTAGTTAAATCCTGCTTGCCGAGAATCAAATCCGTCTCCAAAGAGGTACCGCGGCTCACTTCTGTGATCGTTATGCTGAATACATAGGTGACCAAAACAAGGAGTACCAACGTGAAGAAGACTGATCGACAAGCCTGGCGTTGGTGCTGAGGGCAGAACACCTCAACACCTCAACACTGGCTGAAAAATGATAAAAGCCCAACATGTGCTTGGACAAACATGAAAAGCACATGGGGAAAAGAACCTCACCGTGCCAGGAAACGGACATCATTCCTTTCAGGAGAATCACCAATTCAGGCACATATCGTACCAGCTTGGCGATCCGCGCAGTCCGCAGGATCCGCATCACCCGCGCGATCCGCAGGATGGACGAGGTCTCTGCCAGATCGGAGCCATCACCTGCGCCGCTGTCGATGAAAAGAGAATGCATGGGCCCATGGGAATTGAAGTGCCCTTTGCTCTTAGTAGCGTCCTTGCTCCTAGTAGTAAGGCCAGGAGCCCCTAGTAGCGTCCTTGCTCCTAGTAGTAAGGCCAGGAGCCCCTAGTAGCGTCCTTGCTCCTAGTAGTAAGGCCAGGAGCCCCTAGTCGCGTCCTTGCTCCTAGTAGTAAGGCCAGGAGCACCTAGTAGCTTCTTGCTCCTAGTAGCGATGCCCTTTGCTCCTAGTAGCGAATCTTCAATCTTCATGTTCAGAAAGACAGTTTGGAACTCCAAAAGAATCTGTATCCGAGCAAGAATGTCTAAAAATAAAGCTCTCCCAGCTTCCATCGAAAGTAGGCTAGGGCCATTTGAAGGAATAACTATATACTATATATACCCTTCACTTCTCAAGGTCTGCCAGTCTATCACTGACTGATTAGTCTGATTTTTGTACGGGCCCCGGTTAGCATCTGACCACAAACTCCTGTGCAAATTGCTCGGCATACACGCACACCTGAGATAAGATCAATGAGAGGCATGACCCAGGACTCCAGCATCATCATAGACACCAGAATCAAGTCGAACAAAAAGGCTGGATCTCTCAACGACACCAAGCAGGATCGGAAAGCCAGGAAGCGGATCAGCAGCTCCGACAAGAAAAGGACACCTTGGGTCTGAAACGTACTCTGGTATACTCTGGTAGATCGTTCTCCCACCAAAGGGGGTCGGTTCAATCCCCGAAGTCCTTTCTTAGATATTCTTATAAACATGCTCCAAGAACCTTCACACAAGTCGGTGGAGATGAGTGAACCATCTATTTAAGATTCAGAATGGCCTGGTTTGACTAGGGTTAGCATGGGTTAGCCAAGTACATTCAGTGAGAAGGAACTTCGACATTGGCTTCTCACATCAACACTCAAATCCATGCTGGTGAAGAGTGCCCTGAAAGGCAAATCAACCATTGCCAGGGCGCAAAACATGTTGTCTATGACAATGAATCCTGGAGATGCACGGGTGACAATCCCTGAATAGTTGAACTCAACATCAATGGAGATATAGATCACGTTGGACAAGGTTAGGAGCATTGCAGCTCGCTCAAACCAGCGGTGCCGCACGATCCTCTCACATGTCGTGGGGGTCTCAGTGATCACATCAATGTCTGATCCATACCTCGGACAATCGTCTCGATCACAACCGGTAAGACGAGTTTCTTTTTAAGCCCGTGGGGCCCCCTCCCTCCCTCTCTCCTTGTTTAATTAAGTAGGCGCCTACTTGATTGTAAGGGCGACTAGTTTGCTACTAGGAGAAGTTGGCTCCTAGCTAGGACGCAGGATAGCTCACGCACTAATCTAATGATTTGGTTCCTAGATTTTTAGGGAAACTAAAAGATCTGCGTAAGCTCGGACACTCTGAGATGCTTTCTTTGACACAAGTGAAAACAATACTGGAGTTGGACTGGACACCCAATGAAGGCGCTTTCTGCGACAACTTGCTCGGCGTGTTCCACTGTAAGTGTGGCGAACCTCGGATGCGTGGGGCTCGAGGCTAGGCAGCAAGCGGTGTCAACCTGGAAAAGGTCGAACGATCGGTAGAGTGATGGTCTCCACCCTAGGAGCTTCTAGCTACTAGTACAGTAGTAAGAATGCTCCTAGTAGCGAGGCCAGGAGCCCCTAGTAGCGTCCTTGCTCCTAGTAGTAAGGCCAGGAGCCCCTAGTAGCTTCTTGCTACTAGTAGCGATGGCCTCCAACTAAATGTCGAAATGGTCCACAGTATGTCACAGTTGGTCCCTTCGGTTCTTCACTCCAAGCTACAGCACAAATCCACGGCAGAAATTACGGCTGATGTGGATGTGGTTTGATTCAGTTCACAGCTGATGTCAACCGGGCCATCCAACTGGCTTCTGATGGCTTCTGGTGGGGCTTGGGTGGCTAGCCACTGGAAAACACCTGGCAAACTTCATGATCCTTAACGGTCTTTTGCACGTATGTAGTGGGCGAACTCTAGTCAGCTTGGGAGAAGCTTGTGAGACAGTGAGATATGAACGTCAACACTCTCAAAGCACACTTCCTCTGGCAGAGCTTGGGCGCCTTCACGATGTCTTCGGGAGTAGCCAGAAAATACATATACATTTGTATAGCTACAGTAAATCAAATGGGTGTGGGTCAAGACCCTGGACCCCGGTCGACCACCCACAATGAACAAACTACCCTCAAGGTCAACCTGCGGTGTTTTTTGGTGCGTGTCAGGTTTTGACCCACAGCCAAAAGGTACACCACCTAATTCAACATTCCATAGAAATGGGTTCAGTGCCATTCAAGCCCATAAAAGAAACGACCAAAACCAGCAATGATGAATTGGCGGAGAGGTTGCGGCCTAGTTGAATGGCCAAAACAGGCTCACACTCTGCTGTAAGGGAGAACCACATTGTTACCTTGCCATCAACCAGCAGTTCTGGTAAATATGGTAAATGTCTTAAAAGGAGCGGGCTGACAATATGTTCTGTTCCAACATTGGTTCACAAAGGTGGAATCCTTCTTTCAGCATGCAATGGGACCAAGGCAGGGCGAAGGGAGAAAAAAGGCTGTGCTGTGAGTCAGGCGCAGTACATTTACAAGAAGGATCAAGCTAGCTTGAATCAGGAAAGCCCTTTTATCTAACACCCATTTATCAAGCCATGGTAGGGTTCTCTTAAAGGAAGGTACGGTGATTTGATAAAGACAGAAGATGAGAGCTAGTAACTAGTACTAAATCTACATGCCGATGCGGTCTTTTATACTGAGATGAAGAGACACACACATGAAGTGCACAGCATGGGGTGACACGGGGGTATTGAATTGTCGTTCACTTGTTAACCTCTCCAGCAGAAAAACATAGTAAGCTTTGCAGTCAGCATGGGATTGCTCCTACTTACCTGCAAAATCAGCAACCACCGGAATACGACAACATCGCAAACCTTTCCTATGGTCTTCAGTGCGTCAAGTGACACTCCGGAATTCTCGAAGCGTCTTCTTGCTTCCTATACGTGCGGCTGGAATGAAGAGGGGAAAGGTACCGGCCAAATAATCGGGCATTCCGGAAACACTCCCTCTGTCACCCGGCAAATAACTTGGCCCTTGTCAGTTGGTTGGAAAATCAGCAGCAGCTTACATTTCGATGGCTCCTAAAGCTGCCAGGCATATGCATCTGTGCAGCAATCTTCTTGTCCTTCGAGAAAGCCGCAGTCGAGATTCCACAAATACACACAGACCGAGTGTGGTTCGGTGGTTTGCTCTAAGCTCAATAACAAACACTCTGACTCAGAAACAAGGAACCATACCTAATCCTGCTGAAATTTGATGCAACACACTTGTGGGCCGTTCAAGTAGATGGCCGGTCAACCAAATGCAAAGCCCGACTGGAGTGGAAGGAAGCACCACCCAGGCGGCAGGCACAATATGCAACATGCTGCCTCACAAAAGGCCCCCAAAACAACGCAACCTTCGCTACTAGGAGCAAGGACGCTACTAGGGGCTCCTGGCCTTACTACTAGGAGCAAGGTTGCTACTAGGAGCAAAGGGCATCGCTACTAGGAGCAAGGACGCTACGATACAACCAGCTTCACCCGAGGCTTGAAGGCAGGGATAGCATCGGATAACATGACCAGAAACCAAGAGCCAGGAGAATCAATAGACGTAGGTAACACCAGGCCCTTGGCACGGGCTGGGGCGTGTGTCGGGAATGTAGCGAGCGTTAAAACACTATATAAATGGACAGTTCATTGCATCTATATAGAGATATTGTTGGGGACACTGTCTTCCAACATCTCAACAAATTTTCTATGTCTGCCCCTTGACCCTCAAGAGTGCCTCTGGTCAACAATTATGGTTTCCTCTTGCTTTTGATGTTGGTTTCAACGGGTGTCCTTGGCCGCCACATGCTTGGACTGTCGCGACAAAGAAGCAACCCCTGGAGCATGGGATTCATAGGTCTCATCGATCAAGCTGACTCTGGCGTTCCTAGGTCTCTCCAAGAAGTCGAAATGGGAGCTGGACACGTTGGTTCAGAAACCATCTTTGATATTCAAGTACAGTACACGTGTTCCACCTGTTGTGAAGCCATTCTCAAAATAAAAATGCAGGCAAGATATCATCAAGATATCAGCCAACAAACCGTTTCGTAGATGTTATTGGATCTGGTGCACCCAAACGACCCAAAATTACGTGATGCTGCAGGTCCTGGTCATCTGCGTAGTATGGTGTCAACACAAAAGGCCCACTGAAAGCTGCAAAACTGGAGGCCTTCACTCAGAACCATCCGATGACCCTGGTAGGCTCTAGTAGCGCAGCCAAGATTCTTTTGAATCCACACCTTAGAACCAACAACCAACACCTTCAGCATCATTTACAACCTTCCTGCCGGAAAACACATTGGACATTCCCACGGGTGCTCCAGTATGCCTCCTGAATACAAGACATGAAGGAAACAACAATACACACAGGAGAACATCTAGCTCAAGCTGATTTGGTTCCAGCATGCAATATTCAAATTGAAGGACCGCCGTGTTTCTCAGTCGAGGTGTACGATCTCCATCGGAAAGTGGAATCAATCAAACATCCGCTGAAGGGTTGTGGGCATCTCCAGTCCAAGGCTTGGTGCCCAAGTGTGACCAATGAATCTCACACAAGACCGACATGTCAAAAGTTAGGTTTGCCTGGAAGCAAATCAACAGTGCGAAGGGTTCTTGAGGGAAGCTTCTCCAGGCAGGGAGAGCTTCCTGAAGAAGCCGTCACCCTTCTGCATCCCTGTCTTCAATTATGTACTAGCTTCTGAAGCGACAACAGTGTTCCTTCCTTCCTTCCTTCCTTCCTTGGACAAACCCAACCAAGAAACACATAGTTATAAATATATATGTATATATTATGTATAATATACATTATGCATTCGACTGAGGCCTTTGGCCTTGGCACCAAGAGGCAACCACGCAACTCCACACCATCCGACTCTCATAAATTGGGCTCCACACCACAAGAGCACTGCACGGGCAAGAAAAACACGTCAACACATGACATGTTCACCCCGAAACATCAAGTGCATAGTGCAACCATACCATTCCACCTGTCACATCAAAATTATATGGTGTTTTGAAGTGGGTTCGGCGTGCCCTTTCGGAAGTAAGTACTCAGGTTGTCGGGTCAATTAGGTTGATGAATTGGATTGACAATGATGGATAAGGTACGGTCTACAGTATTTCGGAATCAGGAGTCTACAGTATCTATTGATTTCAAATTCCGAACCAGGTGATTCAAATCGCCAGAGAACAACATGCTAGGGTGGCCTTCATTTTCTTTGGAACCTTGCTTCTACCCCCAAAACAAAAGCACTTTTCTTCCTTCTACCGCGACACCACATTCTTCTTCCGCTTTTCGTCCACACCGTTGAGCGCTGTGAAGGTGTCGGTTACTTGGCGCTTGATCTGCGGCTTCTGGCCTCACCGAGCTAAATGAACACGTGACTTAGATATATTTAAAGCATGAATTGTTTTTTTTGCCCGATGCCCAGCCTTCCCACTTGATTAAGTAGGCGCCTACTTAAATAAGTAAGCTACTAGCTACTCTACATATGGACGCAGGATAGCTCACACTTCTTCAAGGAAGCTGCCCCCGCCTGAGGGCGGGAAGGAGCTTCCTTGAAGAAGTGCTCGCACTAATGATTTGGTTCCTAGATTTTTAGGGCAGTTTAGGAAAGGCAGTGTTCGCCAGCAGACCTATATAGTTTTGCACTCCACAGCTTTTCTTGCAAGGGTCAACAGTCAACATTTCTTTCATTCATCGCCCCTGCTGATTCCATTTCAACACGCAGGGTTTACCGAGGAATCAGATACAACAGAAGAAACTGAACGGCCAAATTCCATGGAACACCCATAATCCTAGTCTCACCTGGTGCAAGTTCCTCATCACTCTCTTCTTCTTCACTTCCAATTGCAGGAAGAGGCCTTAAGCGGGCAAGCTCACACGGATTCAGTCTGGTATTGGAGGTTCTAACTTTGTCTCACTAAGATGAAGTGCTTGCACTCATTTGTGGCTCCTGAATATAGTATTATGTTGCATCAATGTGCACTAATTTCGTGGCTCATTCAGGGTGTTTGCCATGATTTTCTTGCCGATTCTTCTGGATACATTGTGTAGATCGGGCGGAACGATCAAGCACTTTTCGCCATTGCATCAGAGCTCAAGGCGCCTGTCGTGAGGCGGAGGTTAAGGCCCGGGCCAAAAGGATCAAGCGGATCCAGAGGTGAGTGCAGTGGGGACATGCCGACATGTATGTGGTTTCACATCCTTCGGGGGTTCTCATCCCACTTCACTCTCCTCTTTCACCAAACTGTACTGGCCCTCTTTCAAAGCCTTGCGAAGTAGGACGCTATTGCCCAATCGCTTGGTCAAACAGTCGGCCAACATGCGATGGCCTGGAACCCAAAAGGTTTTCACCCTCAGCAGCCGCGCGGAGATGCAGATGACGGACACGTCGATCTGAGCCCGTCTGCACTGCCCTGCATTGCCCGAGCGACGACTGAGGAGGTCGTAGAGTGCTTTGGCGTCGGTGACGTGAGCTCCAGTGCACTCATCCACAATGCGCACTGCAGCCACATCTTCTTCTTCTTTCTCGGGGAGCCGAACCACCATGAGCGACTCATTGTCGCCGAGCCGCGTCCCATCAAGGACGTTGGTGGCAGGGTCCAAAACTTCATGCCATAGGGCCCGGATCCATTCCACCTCAGCTAAGGCGTCGTCCATGGCCAAGGCCTCAGAGCCTAAGGTGGCTTTGACCACCCTCTTCAGCTTGTGACTGCGCCAGCTGTTCAGGCTGAAAGGTGCTTTCTTTCCCTCCATGATGGACTTGTGCGTGAGGGCGAGCAAGAAGCCTCCTTGACTTTTATTCTCCACGTTGGCCATGGAAGCGTCAGCTATGGTCAACCACAGGCTCTCTTCTGGTGCTATTGGCAGCACTCGGACGTACACATCCATGGTGGACTTCAATTCAGCCACGGTCTTGTTCGCCATGAGGATGTGCTCCACTGTCGGTCCGGTGCTTGGCCATGACATTGACATTGCACAGGCTGCAGCTACATCAGGTCTTCCCTCCTTGCCAACCCATAGCAAAGAGCCACCCACTCCTCTCAGCCAGCTGATCTCCTTCTCGTCGAGGAGTGCCTCCTTCTGCTTTTGGCGGTCCTTGGTCAGCGCCACTGGACGTAGTTTTTCTTCAATATACCGCTTCATGCTGACCTGGATCTCGAAGCTGGTGAGTTGCTTCAGGGTGCGACCAATGTACTCGGCTGAGGACTGGTAGACGTCCTTCCACTTGCCAAATTTCAGCTTCGTGCGCAGCTGTGACATCAGTTCATGATGCCTTTCATTTCCTCCCTGGCAGAAGTCATCAACATCCAGGAGAACCACACCAGCCACATACAGCTTCTTGTCCTGGAGCTCTTCTGAAGTAGGCCGGAGGTAGTAGAGGCATGGGTCGAAAACACTCTCCATGCAGCCTAAGGACAGGAGAAGCCGGCGAATGGTTCGCCTCCAAACTGCTGGTGCGTTGACAAGGCCATAGACGGCGGTGCGCACACGAATGATGGCGTTTGCAGCATAGCCAGGAATGCCTGTTGGTGGCATAGATGCAAACAAAGGTCCCTGCTCTCGCTCCACTGGGTCGCTTTGACCGAATGCAGAACTGACATCCATGATGAACAGGTGGTACTTCAGCGATGTGAGCACTTGCAGAGTCAACATGACTGTTGTGCTTGAAGGTGTAGGTGCAAAGCGCTCAAGCTGAAGGCTGTCAGGATCACGGTGGCCAAGCAAGATCCATCTTGCTTTCGCTTTCCAGTCTTCTCCAGTCTCTCCAGCCTTCTTTGTGATGATGAATCGGCTGGGCATGATCCTGTGTGAGTACTTGTCGTGCACCCACTGGATCTCTTCCTTGGTGGTGATCATCTCGATGGCGTTGGAGCCGAGGAGATTGTCAATCTCTTTGGTCTTGGCCTCTGCAAAGAGCTTCTTTTCAACTTCATTCAACTTTCTCTCATTGAGCTCCTTGCCACTTTGTTTGGTGAGGTAGGCCAATGATGACTCCTCTTGGAGGTAGGAGTTGTAGTAGCAGTCGCTCTTGCTAATCTTGTAGAAGACTTGGAGGTCACGGTTGTTGGCAATGACGGGGTAGTTCTTCTTGTTGCCCCATTCAGTGGTGTCATCACCATGCCAATGGCCAAAGATCTTGGACCTGTTCACAACTCGGTCATCAGGAGCAGGTGCTTCGAGGCTTCTCTTCATGCCTTCAACCAAGCGTGCATCTTCTTCTGGAGGCTTGGAGCGATCTGGAGTCTCCTGCGGACCTTCCACAGGCTCTTTGAAGCTTTTGCCAGGGTCAGGATGACCAGGCATGACCTTGTAGATGAGGATGGTCTCGATGCTCCGCACTCCTTCCGGCAATTTCTCGTGGGCTTTGTGGACAGACATCTCAGGGGTGATGGCGATGTCCTGAATCACCTTGTTGGAGTCGATGTCAATCGTGACTCGCCTGACCACATCATGCCACAAAGGTCCCTTGCTGTTCGAGCCACGGTATCTTTTGGCATCAAGGTCATGTCTGACCCACATCTTCAACTCAGGTGGTTGCGCCGGTGGCTCTTCAGCATGTTCTTCTTGCCGGGCACGCTGACTTTCCACTGTGGCCTTCCACAGCTCATCTGCTTCTGTCTGCTCTGCTGCTGCCGGTGGTTTGTTTTCTGCTGCTGCCGATGCTGGTGTTGTGTGGCTTGTTTTGTCTTGTACTTCATGAGGTTTGCCTGAGGTTAAATCATCTTGAATCACAATTGGAGTTGTGGTTCTTGGTGATCGTGTTCGATCTCGGCTGCCTCTGCTTGCTGTGGGCTGCTCTGCCGGTCTCGGTGTCTGTGGGACTGGAGGTGGTGTCATAGGTGCCGGTGTCGAAGGATTGGGTGTTCTCAATCCTTCGGGGTGTCCCTTGGGTGTTCCTGGAATCCTCCGATAGACTGTGTGAGGATCCAGTGGTTTCTTCTGCCGTGCAGGTGGTGTTGCTTGCCGTGCAGGTTCTGGTGCTACTTGCGGTGGAGGTGGTGCTGCTTGTGGGGCTATGTACTCCACTTCATCGTCAACTGTCTCTGGGGGTTCGCCTTCCTTAGTGACATCAACGAATCCCAGTTATAGCGAAGCCTTTCCTTGGCTCTCAAGAGGTGAGCTGCAACCACTTCAATGCCCTGCTTCTCGGCATTGCTCATCTCGAAGATCTGGGACCGGTTGCACTTCCAGAGTTCGCCCCTCCGAGTCACCCATACGGTGTCACCTTTCTGCAAAACAACAAAACATGGTCCCACCTTGGCAGTGGCACCACGTCGCCCTTGCCGCCATACAGCGACGGGATCACCTTCTTGGAATTGGTGACTGTCTCGTGCTCTGCGAGGACGGGCACGAACAGCTCTGTTGAGGCGAGCTTTGGAGTCAGTCTCCATGAGGGCTTTCCTTGCTGCCTTGCGCATCTCTTCAGCTCTGGTCCACGCTCCATCGGCCGTCATGCTATACTCAAACTCGCGGCCATCAGAAAGATGATCCATGCCCAGGTTGGGTTGTTTGCCGAGGACTCGCTGGGCAGGTGAGTATCCAGAGCGGTTCGTGAGTGTCTGGAGAGCCCATGAGACTTCATGCACCAGGTTGCGGACTTCATCCATGGTGGTCGGCTGCATCATCTCTCTGGTGCGATAGTAGACTTCTTTGAACAGGCCTCCACGTCGCTCTGTGACTCCGTTTTGGTATGGAGCGTCTCTGTCAATGAGGATGGGCTGGATGCCATGTGACTCAAGCTGCTCCACGAAGTAGCCTTGGAATTCAAGACCTTGGTCCATGATGAGAAATGCTGGAGCGCCAAAGGTCCTGAGCCACTTGTCCAGAAAGGTGTTCCAAACCAGCTCAGATCCTCGTCTGTTTGGGTCAACCAGACTGAAGGTGGAGTAGAGAGTTCCCAAACAGGTGACGTTCATCACCGGGTGCTCGGCTTCAGAATGACAAACGCCGTGCGCAAACAGCAGGTCAATGCCGATGACAATGTTGAAGTCATAGGTTCTGGGCGTGGACGCTGGCAATCTTGTTGGCTGCTTCTTTTCTCTTCGGCATCCATCGCAAGAAAACTCTTGTAGTACATATTGAATCACATCAGGTCGTGTGCCAGCTGCTCGAAGTAGGCGAACAAACTCCTTGAGTCCAGGATGACCCAAGTTCACATGTGCTCGGAGGACCATCTGCTTCTCCGCCGCGGAGAGAGTTGAAGCTTCAGCAAATGTCCATGTCAACTCCGGGTGGTGGTAGAGCACAACGAGGTATGGATAGTTCACCTCGAGCTTTGGCGTCTTGCCGCTGGATGCTTGTTCCAGTTGAAGCCATTTGCCATCAACCACTCCCTTCGCCCAGGTCCATCGCAAAATGCGGTGTCCAGGACCACGAACTGGTAGTTCTTGGTGTTGTGGATTCTTCAGCACCAAAATCGCACTGTCATGGAAGGTGCGCCACTGAAGATGTTCTCTTGGGCGTAGCTCTTGTACCCATTGTTCAAGATCTCCTCGATCTGGCATATGGCTGGGTTTGCCGCATTGTGATTTCGTCCAGCTTTCAATCAGGCCATCGATGATTGCTTGGACCAATGCTGGAGAATATTCTTGTGCCAGTTGAGGTAGACCTGACATCAACTGTTCATGTGGCTCAGAGCAGTTGCATAGTCGCTGGAGGTTCTTGGCAATGCAATCGTTCGTAGTGGCGAACAACGTTGCCTTTTTGTTAAGTCCTCCAGTTCCAACTCTCAGGCCAAAGCGGCATAGGTGGGACTTCACTAACAGCACCTGGTCATGGGACAGGAAGTGTCTCACCGTTGGAAGGAGCCATGAAGTGGCCGTGTGTGGATGTTCATGTAGTGAGTCGCCTTCACGCTGAATCTGATCTTCTTGAAGCTCCATGGAGTAGTTCACGTGAAGCATGGCCTCTGGCAACTCCGTCTCAAGCCGTTGAGGATAAGGCCTGAGGTTTTGCAATGGTGAGAACTTCGTGCATGGCGGTGTAGTCGTCAGCAATTTGGGTCTCCGCCGATGCAACTCTTCTTTGAGCCAGGTTCGCTGTTGCTTGTCCTTGAGGTCAAATCCAGTCATGAGGTCGACTGAAAGGTTTGCTCTGAGTCCACGTTTGGCGGCTTCCTCCACCAGTCTTGGTGGGCTGTAGATCTCGACCACGGCGTCGTGCTCGGTCGGAAGGCCACCAAAGACCTCGGCGATGTCATCAGGTTCTTGTTCCTCCCATAGAGTCCAGTAGGCTCCATAGTTGGGAAGGAGATCATCCAGGCTTTTCATCAGGTCATTCTTAGTCGTCTTGGCCAGGGTGATCTCTTGCTCATAGAGCTCGGTGTCGTTGACAGAGCCGATGAAGTCCTTGGTGAATTCATAGAGTGTCAGAAAGGAGACGGAAGCCCCCAAACTGTAATCCTCGCCAGGAATCTGTGTCACGTGGACAGCATTCCATTGGCTACCATTTTTCGTCATCACGATCTTGCGACTCAGAACCTCTCGAGTGAGCACTGGTGCAACTCCACGAGAAACATCACCACATGATGTGGCTACATAGGTGTGGTTCTGGTCGATGTCCAGGGTCATAGCCAGCTCTTGAAAATGCTGGTCATCTTGCAGCGAGGGTAGATGCTTCAGCCAACCATTCAGTTGGAGAGGAGATTCACGTTGAAGCGGCCAATCTTGGCATAGGCCGTTGGCATCTCGAAGAGATAGGCTGCCAAGTTGCAATTCTCGTCCATGCACTGGATCTCCTCGTTCTCGGCCTCGTCTCCCGGGGCAATCTGAAGCATCTCCTTGCTCTGGCATCGTGGGCAAATCAGTACTCCCACTGCCGGTTTGACTGATTCCTCCAATTGTCCCCAATGATGTGGACAGTTGGGGTTGTCGCACTTCCAAAGCAGGTGCATCGATGGGCTGTGGCGATGGAGTACCACTTCGCCCTGGTGACAGGTGTCGCAGGACTGGGACAATGCCTCGTGCAGGAGCATCTCGAGAGCCGCATGAGGATCTCCGATCATCGCTGGCTCCACTGCTTCGTTTCCATGGCGGAGGATCTGGTTGGCTACTACGTCGTGCCATGAATCCGCTCCCACAAAGTCCTGGTCCATCGGTGCAATCTCCTCCTCCTTGACTCGCCTGGGTGGCGCGAATGGCTGAACTCTCGTCTTGCAGGCGGTTCTCCGTGTTGACATAGTCGACACTGTCGGAGTCGTCAAAGGAGAATGTTTGTCTTGTTGCCCCCGTGAACTCGCTGATGCTGTCTCCTGCTTGGATCCCTTGGCCTTGCTCTTGGCTGCAGTCTTCTGGTAAAAGGGGTCCGGGATGTAGCACAGGGTGTTGTTCCAACTGTGCAATTCCGTGACGGGCGTCAGCGGCATGGTCTGGCGTTGTTTGCACTCGGTGCACTCGTGGTAACTCATGAGGCGGTTGGCACCGTGCTTGCTCATGTGATGGCTGCACATAGGAGACGGCTCCAGTGCAGGCACCAGGTATTTGCCATTGCCCTTGACCATTGCCAGAGGTCGTACACGATCCTCTCGACGTGCCATCGTCAAAGTTCCGGCATTCATCACTGCCGGGGATGAAGTCTTGGCTTGTGCCAGCACTCTTTGTTCTTCCTGAGCCAGCTGCAAAGCTTGCTCCTCCAAGCGTTGGCGTCGTTGTTGAAGACGGCGTGCTTCGCGAAGTTGAGGTGATCGAAGCACTTCTTGGAAGACCTGCCATGCTTGGAGTGCTGCCGAGGAAAACCAGCGCAGCAACAAGCGGCGCCAGCGCGCCCATCGCTGAGAGGCTGTGGGCGTCCAATGACCAGTCGGCTGGCCAAGGAACCGTGGCCCAGTCAGGAACGGGCTCAACTGACCAGGCTTGGCTTTCGGAAGCTGCGAAGTTCGCTGGGACGTTGAAGCCACTCTTACCAAAATCAACTATTGAGACTGCAACATGTCCGGTGGCCAAACGTTTCATGTGTTGACTCGTGCCAAGCTTGGTGTACACAATGTATGAATGCTCCATGTCAATGACTGCACCCACGCTGGTGAGGAAGTATGCGGGCAAGAGGAAGGGGATGTTTCCAGGCACAACCTGAACCCGTAAAACTCCAGAACGTTGACCAATACCAATGGGCACATATGCTATTGAAGTTGTCTCCTCTTGTCCACATACTCCACGAACGCTGCCCCCGGCTTCATGAGACCATTGAACTTGTAAACCATGGTGCTCTTGCAACAGGTGGTCATGACGAAGAAGGGTTTCCTTTCCAACTAAACCATGCTGGGCTGCCGTATCAACAAGTGCTGTACCCTCATCTTCATGAACTGCAAGAAAACAAAACGTCAAAGCTGCAAAGTCGGCCGGCATGTATTCTCCACCAAACTTGGCTTCAGAGCTCTTGGTGAGAAAGCTACTGCCACCTGCCAAAGTGGTTGCAGGTGGTTGAACAAAGAATCCGGTGCTCATGCCGGCAGCGCTCAAGCCCGTTGTTGAACTCGAGCTTCGTGAAGTAGGCGATGCATGCTTTGATCGATGAGGGCATTCCTTACTCCAATGACCAACCTGTTTGCATTGGTGGCATCTCGTTTTGGCCTTCAGCTCGGAGAGGGTGAGCTTGGAACCACTGCGGTGCATCCAAGGCTTGTCATAGCCTCGGCCATTGCGACTTGCTTGAAGCAGTCGCCGGTGCTCGAGATAGCCACCACCTTTGCCATGTCCAAAGCTGGGCGGACTGCCCATGCCATAGGTCTTGCTGCTGGGGCTCTTGCCTTTGCCTTTCTTCCCTTTGCCTTTGCCTTTGGAGTGCAGGCGGTTGTGCACCTCATAGAAGACATCCTCGATGTGGCCTGCAACAGCCTCCAAGGCATCACTCTCATCCATCACCACGGGAAGCTCCTCATAGAAGGCAAGCTGAGCCTCATGGTTTTCACTCAAAGACATCAGGCCCTCGAAGGGGTCAATGTCGTCAATCTCATAGGCCGTGTAGGTCAGCTCCTCATCCTCCCAATCTTCATCAGCATCTTCGCCCCAGTAGGAGGCGCTTCGCCATCTTCGGGGTGTCGGAGGATGATCAGCATGTTGGTGCTCGTCCAAACGGTCTCCAAAGACCTTTTGAATTGCCTTCTCAAGCTCCTTGAAGTCGATGGAGCCGTTGGTGACAACTTTCAAACGTTGCCTCTGGTCTTGACTGAAAGCTCCTTGGCGCAAAATGAGGTGGCCAAGGAGGTGTCTTCCGGCCGATGTGGCCAACAAATCAAGCCCTTGCTTTTTCAGCTCTGCGAAGGCAGCCTTCTTGTTCGTCAAGAACGTGGTCAAAGAAGTGCCACGATCTCTTCTGCCTTTGAAAATGGCCTCATCAAAGGCCTGCTCGAGCCTCTGGTCCTTCAGGTACTCGTGGGCCTCCTCGATGATGCGCAGGATCTGGCGGTGGCCATTCTCAGCACAAATCTCTTCAACTGTCAAATGAGCCACCAGTGCACTCAGCTTGGATCCAAGGGGGATCGAGTCGATGATCCGCTTGCCAATCAAATTGGTCGGCAATCTGGCCTCAGCTTCAACCAACCAAAGGAGCAGGTTGCGATGATACTCCTTGTACTGCTTTTCGGGCGAATCTCCGCCCCAGCTGGGCGCAGGATCCAACCTGTAGTCAACATGTTTCCGGCCTTCTCGACCTTGGGTTGAGCCAGCCGGAGTCGGAGGTCGAGGAGGTTCCACACCAAGCGCAGCTCTGCTCCACGGATCTGGTTCCTCAGGAATGCCAGGATCGCCGGGCCGTTCTTCGGCAAAAGGTCGTTGGCGATCAGGAGAAGTCGTGGGCATGGCTGCCATCGGTGGCGGAGTCGTGGAGGCCGAAGGCGAACTTATAGATGTAGCTCCGGTTCCTCTCCACGTTCGAGCAGGAGGTGGCATGTCCACCAAACAAAGAAAGGGAAAAGTTCACCAGTCCAAGTGATCTGGTAATCGAAGAACTCAATGATGTAGCGCTCCCAAAACCCTGGGTTGGAACTCCCGGGAAGAGGTCCCGTTGAACTTCAAAGAAATGTCCAGCCGCCGGGGGCGTCCCCCCAAGTCAAAGCCGAACCTCTTCGCGGGAGCCCCCCGGTCGTCACCAGGGGGCTCCGCTACCACTGTAGATCGGGCGGAACGATCAAGCACTTTTCGCCATTGCATCAGAGCTCAAGGCGCCTGTCGTGAGGCGGAGGTTAAGGCCCGGGCCAAAAGGATCAAGCGGATCCAGAGGTGAGTGCAGTGGGGACATGCCGACATGTATGTGGTTTCACACATTGCAATATTACTGGGTCACAATGGTCATGTTGCTCGTTGTACTATTATATAACTTGGCAAACTTAACAAATGAAACATAATGAAACACAAAATAGTTGAAGCTTGTTGCACCCTTCAGGTCAAATTCTGTCCCGATCCAACATGGCCAATGCATCTGGCCGAAGGGCATACTGGGCACCTTGGTCATGGCATCCGACTTCGCATCCTGGGAATTGACTAAGCCACTGGTGGCGAGACCATGACCGCGGGTCCGGTGGTCAGTTGTCAAGACAAGGAAAGTAACTATATCGGCTGCCCTTAATAGATCCATCCATTATAATTAGTCCATATGGGCTGTGTCATTCTATCATGCGTACTAGATTGGGTCGCTATGTAAGTTTGCGGCTCTGCAAGTCTTGGAAAAAGCACTTCGTACACATCGTTTGGTATCAAGTGAAGTTGCAGCATAGATTGAAATGTTATGGACAACACTGAAGAGGTTGCTTCCAGGGAGGATTTCCGAGCCAAGTTCTAGGCAAGAGGACAAGTTTGCCCAAGGAAACCGCATGTGTATTGCGTTTCAATCTGGTAGAGTCTCCAGGAATCTCTCAGCAAGGAAAACAATTTTTGGATTGTCGAATAGTGACCAACACAATGAGGGATGTCCTGACCTAATAAGCAAATCGCCTATGTATTATTGAATGCAAGAATCAAATTGTATATTGTTAGTCTTATCTTACATTCAAGAATCAAATCTCGCCAGGTTAACAAAACGAAGTGAGTTCAGCCGCCGGACGAGTATAATTTTGCATGATTCAATATGATACCATGTTATATAATCAAAATCCAATACTTGCATCAAACCCATGTGACATGTGAGTCAAATGTCTCACTAGGTGTTCAAGCCCTCGAGTGCCGTCATCGACACTCATACTCATTTGCATGGAATCTAGCGAGCGAAGAGTTCCTTCTTTCCGACCCGAACTGGCAACTACTGGCAGTAGCTGGGAGTTTGGGTATACTTTGCTAGTCCAGTATAGTATAGTCATGTATAGTCACTAGATGTCTCTAGCCAAGTCCCAGTTCCACGGCACACCAAACACACCGGGCACACCGAGGCTCCAGGACTCTGGGCTCGTCCTTCGGCCCAGCCGGACCCAAAGTTGCGCTCGGACTGCGTGGAACGTGGGGGAAGAGACGATGGGCCAAAGAAGCGAGGTGTCGTGCACCTAGCAGCGTCCTTGCTCCTAGTAGCGATGCCCTTTGTTACTTGTGGCGTGCTTGTTCCTAGTAGTAAGGCCAGGAGCCCCTAGTAGTAGCGTCCTTGCTAAACAAGAAAAGGAAGGTAAGGGCCTCAGTAAGGGCCCCTTGAATAAGGGCCCATTGTGCTACTTCAGCTTCTCAAGATCAGTTGCCTGACGTCAACAGCACTAGCAACACTGCTACTGCTACTGGCTACTCCTACTCGTACCTCCCTACTCAGTCTACTGAGCTAGTTGGGGACGAGCTCTGCACACTATATAGCCGCATTTGTCTGCACAAATCCTCATTTGTAATTGCGTGCAAGATGGTACAATGAAGTATCTTAATTAAAAAATATATATATATATGTGTATACACATGCCTCTCACAGTTCCGAAAAGAGTGGGGCGCATGTAGCAAATCTTAGGCAACATTAGGCAACCATAATTTCCAAACCAACGATAAAACCAGATCACCCATCCTATAGAACGAGAAACTCTCGTAGCTTGCTACGTCTCCCCACATGTGCCTGAAAGGCACCTGCAAGATCTTCGAGTGGACATCCTCCTCGTAGGTCCGTGGCACCTCAACGAGAATGGCTTCCGCCAAATGTGGCTGCAAAGACCCAAGAGGGTCTCTGAGTCTCTGCACCATGCTTTTCATACAGCCAGAACTGTTGGATAACTTCTCTTGGCCAAGCTATTTTGTGTGGCAGGCGCAATGCTGACTCGAAGCAGTTTGGGTGGATGTACAGCAATCTGGCGAGATTGTGGTGGGCTGTGTGGGAGGTGGCAATGGAGAGTTCTCAGGCTTGTCTGTTCAAGTTTGCGGTTGTCTTCGGATGCTATTTGCTGGTTCTCACGAAAACAATGCCTCAGTTTGCCTTACTTGTTTTGGTTCTCCTCCCTCTTCCTTGCTCCTCCCCATCTTTCCTTCCCTGTTTCCCCTCTCCTTTTGCTTCAAAGATCGAGACGTGCGACTTCTAAGGGACAGTTGAGAACATGCTGAGAACGCCTGAACGCAAGCGAGCCGCAGCATACGTACACGTATAATCGAACAACTGTAGCAATGACAACTCCCCACCAATGAAACCGGTCGTCTGATTCCTTGTTTCACATGGTGAGTAACAATTAGGCGTACCAGAAACATCCAGAAACGCATGTCCCAGCAATGCGCCAAGAAAAAGGCCATCGCTATTAATTGGGTGTTTTCTGGCCATCGTTTTTAGGTTCTTATTCTTATTGTTCAATTCTATTTGGACGACGATGCGCCTTCTCCAATTCCTGGATCTTCTGATCCAGCTGCCGCAAGATGGACCTCTGAGACTCCACGAGCGACGCTCGGAAATGAAGCAGCCCGCTCTTGACTCCTGCCGTGGCCAACGAACCGTCCATGAGCCTAATGATCATGATGACCCAACAAAAAGCACACGGGTCTTTTGAAGAAACAATAACCTTTCATGATTACATGGCAAATTGATCATGTCAACTTGCTGGCAGCGGCATGGCCTTGAATTACAGTAATGTCTTGTGTTTACAAGTGCTTACCTTGTTCCGCGAAAGGATGCTGCTGGTCCTTCAAACCTACATTCACCATCATCCACTACAATCATTCACCTGTATGTATTTTTCCGTTGTCTGGCAAGCCATTTCTGTCCTCTGGGAGACGTTGATGGGGAGTGCGAACGGCTGCGCAGGCTCAAACTGCTCTCGGGGCTGGAAGATTTGCCCTTGGGCCTCGTGTGTCGCAAGCGCCACATCAGGAGGAGCACTTTTGGGGTTTCACCTCCGGATAAGGAAGGAGATGGAAGGAGCCAAGGAGAGAAAGGGTTTCTTTCGCCTATTCTACTCTTGAAAGCATTCGCCTATTCTACTCGCCCACTTTTGCAGCCAAAATGCACATCCTTGCAATGCTTGAATGGTTGTGTGGTTTCGTTGCTTGCTTGCCAAGAGATTTGTGAAGAAGTGTCGTTGCATGTTCGTACGTACGCTGTGCCAAGCGGCGAGCCAGAAAGCTGTCGCTGAAGCAAATCTTGCAATAACAACATTGAATGTTAGCTCCCTGGATTAGTATTGTAATGTCTTGTATGCACTACAAATACATGGTAAAGCCTTTTTGCTGTTCAAATTAATTATGGTCGCTGGCAAAAAGGGGGAAACATTCCAAGAACACCGGATACATATAGAAGGTGTACTGCATAGGGGCTCTTTGATGCTCTTTGCAACTATGATTTTTACACACGATTACGGTAAATTACTTTATTGCAATTATACAGGCTTGTTCTACCCATTGTCATTGTAGAGGGCACCTCATGCAGTCGACTGTCTTGCCCAGTAGCACTGTCAAAGATCCCGGAAGGTCATGAAGTAGTTCATGTCCAGAGTGAGCGGAGTTGCCCGAAATGCGCAGAATCCCAGAAGCCATGGCGCCGTCTTCGACGACTAAATGCTGCACAAAAGGGCGCACGTGACAAGACAATTCTGCAAGGAAACGCCACCGCATGTTCTGTAAGTTCAAAGCAAACGCATCGATTGAATCTTTCCCACATCTGGAACAAATCAGTGTGATTTTGCCCAGGGGAGTGGCAGGAGTCTAGGTGTGGAGGAGTGATGTTGGCATGTTGGGGAGGCAATTCATGGCACTTAGCAAACATGCCATTCCCATCCCCTTGACCGTGTTGAAGAACTTCCACAGGAATGTGTCAACCATAGATCTCTTCGCAACAGCTGAAACACGAACAAGAACAACGAGACTGCCCAAAGCCACAGACTCTGGGACAAATTGAGGTGGGACGAGGGGACACGGACACAGGGCCGGACTCACGAAATCCGGTCGGCTCGAGACCGGCTTTCTGCAAGCTGCAGGCAACAGCTGCACCTTTTTCACGTAGTCGTTGTTTGCCCAGGTCAAGTCCTCGAAAAACGTGGCCCTGGTCATGATCGCCGAATACTTTTGCACAGTCCAAGTGAATCACTGATCATGTCATCACTACTAATTACATAGTTTAACGGTGTTTATCAGTGTTTATGGCATTTCAGGGTTTAGTAGCCCCCAATTCTTCACTTTGAAAAATCCTGAGCCACCGAGGGTCAAGCCTTGACTGTATTGAACCAAAAGGGAAGTTGTCCAAAAGTTCCTCGGATGTCATCACTCATGCCCCCTCCGTCCCACCGCGGGCCACGCCTGCGTGAGGACCCGGCGCTTGCAACCGGCTAACTCCTGAGTGAAGCTTCCCCAGACTCTCTTCTGTTTCATATTCTCAGAATCTCAGAATATAAAGACATGAGCTACTGGCAAGGGTGAAGTAAGCCTGACAACATACTGTACCTTTCAAGAACCGAAAAGATCGTCGTCACCGAGGCTCCAGAACTCTGGGCTCGTCTTTTTGCGGCGAAACCAAAGCACCAGTGACCTGGAATCTGCTGCTATCTGCTGACAGCAATGTTCTTGTTCTAAATGGGCTGTGCGCACACTACCCACACACTCACACACAAATCCCTGCTTGATCCTGCCTGTATCAAGATTATCAAGTTACCAAATATTCTGCTGACTGGGCCTATTTAGCTTCACATTCGAAGAACAAGCCTTGGCACCCATTGTGGGGGGACAAACTGCTGCTTGGCGCATGTTAGTCAGTCCCATTCATAGCTCTGTCCTAAAGCACGAACAAACACAGCTTCTACATGCCCACTGCATTTTGTATCCTGCAGTCTGTCAGGGCGAAAGCGACTTTCAGGGCACTCAAGCGTCTCCGGTGCAGTTCCACCATGTGTGGCATCCACATTTGGTCTTGTCAAAAACCCATGCGGTTGAATTACCTCACTTGGAGAGCGGTCGGAACAAAAAAGGTCCTGTCACGTTTCCACCAATGACTTTGCACGCACCAAGAAATCTTTAAACGTTTGCTTTCAATAAAACGTTTAAAGTGCGAAACGTCCGCCTGCAGGTGAGTTGCCAGAGATGGTGGGCCTCTCGATGAGCATCCAATAGAGATCCGGATTTTCATCTTGGAATTCTGTATAAGCCACCTCGAAGCACTTCTTACCGATGGTCTTTCCCCAACCCAATTGTTGAAGTCTTCATACTCATGCCAGGGCTTCTCAATGGCTTTCTTCCGGCCAAACCTCCACGCCCACTTGCCCTTCTTCACAATTGTTCAAAGCTTCTTCAGGCAGCGATCCAAGGCATGTTGCTTGTCGTGCTTCACCTGATCTGCAAAGGGTTGGTCGGACCAATTCTTCACGCTGAGGCTGCAATCGGCCACGGCACACATCTCGCCCTGCCTTTGTTGGTCCAACACATTGCCAAACATGCTTCATGCGACCATTACACGGACCATCTTACTACAGTATACTACAGAAATTTATATACTGTAATACTGTTGCTTGAAGACATCCTCCGGCCTGATCAAAGAAGGCACCATTGGGTGTGATGGGGCTAGGTATACGACTACCCGATGGAATACTGTAGTCGTCCATTTGCCAAACAAAGCTAGATGTCAAGCAGCTAGACACTATTAGTTTCCTCAAAATCAACGAGCTGAATCATTCATGCTTCTCTGGCGCCTGGTTGCTGCTTGTAAGCTTACCAGCTACTTAAACGACTATAGACTATAGCCTACTATAGCTACTGACCTCTCCACACCCTACCCCACCAAAAAATAGTAACTATATAAATAAATGAGAGCCTGTATATCGCCCAAGCTTCCTGGTTTTGATGACGTGACAGGCTCCATAAAGATATCGTTGGAACGCGCCTGAAGGTGGCACTTGTCCGATTGGCTTAGCAAAATTAAAGCAATCAGTATGACCAAAGAGTTAACAGGAAATGCGCTCCCTACCGTGGTCTTAAAGTGACAACTGTTTGACAGCTGGCCATGGCACCTGCCCATCCGATTGTGGAGCGCGTGTAGTACTTGTCGCACTCCGAGACAGTCGCCTGGCACTCGTGGTATTTGTAGTCGCCACCATGCCAACTGTTCCTGTCTTTGCTGCTCTGGACAAGGAGGCTTATACATAGAAACTAGTTCAAACTTATCCACTTCCGAACACTCTGAAACAAGGAATCTGGAAAGGCTGAAGAGGAGTCACACCCACAGAATCCGCACCAGAATCTGATCTTCTGAGAGGTTCAGTGTATAGGGCACTTCATCTGGCTCAGGTTATCCCAATGTTGAGCCCACAGCAGAAAATTCTTTTAAACTTGGCCCGAGGGTCACGACACTCCTGGTAAACTTTCGCCCGTTGCATGTGCCACCCTCCGTAGGCTCTGAGGAGTCGGTAGTCTGCTCAGGGGCCTCCGTGTCGTCAGTCTTCTGTCTCCAGGGTATCCTTGGGGAGAGAGCTTGAACTGCAAAGTGGGGAGGATGATTTCACATGTGTTTCAGTTTTCTCTGCGGTGGCCAGCAGCGTTTCAGGTGCGCAACATTGTCATCGTATTCACAACATCTGTCATCGGCACAACGTCAACGAAGAGTCGTGTGAAAAAATTGGGAGATGCGCTGCACGCACGCATAATAATTGTCATTATTGTCACAGCATTATCATCTGTCTCACAACATGGTCATACGTGGCGCCAGCGCCACACTGTATGCCAATTAAATTGGCAGCGATCCAGCCAAGTACCTTGACGCCAATAAGGATCGGTCCTGCTTGTTCGGTGTGAGAAAAGCCGGTTCCGCTCGGGCTACCACTTCACAATTCCCTTGTTGCGATTCGCATCTTCAGGATACACGCTTCTGGCGCGTTGTTTTCAGACTTTGTCTGGCCGTGCTTCCTGTTTTATCCAGTCTTTCACTGAGAAAGTAGGTGATCGAAAGGTCTACACTGGATTCACTCACATTTCTTGACCAAAAACTTTCAGTCTGTCTACAGGCAAGGTCTCGGTCTGCTAAGCAATGCTCTTCGTGTTGGGGTCTCCGACGCCAGCGCGCATGGCCATCACCTCACTGGCTCGCAGCCCCAACAAGAAAGTCGTTCTTTCCTGACAAAAAGATCTGACCTTGTTTTCATCTTGGATTGGTGCTAAACAACTACCCTTCTTCCAGCCTCGCTTGGTGAGTGACCCGCCAAAAGAATGTTGCAAACAAACTGCTTTCCCACTCGAACCCGGCTGTCCATTATACAAATCACAACCTCCCTAAGGATGAAAACACAATTTTGGAAGCCACAATTCCTGCAACTTTGGTTTCCTATTCTCCAGTCGAGTACTATCTACAGTACAATATATTACAATATAAGATTAACAATAATAACAATAATCTATTATAGTCTAATTGTGACTAATACAGTGACACCTGCGCAATGAATGGCGGAGGATTTGTGGGACTGTGACGGCAACCCGAACAAACTGATCGATGTTGCTTAGAACGAGGGGGGGGCAAAAGGGAGAAGGGGCTATCTCTGACTTGTAACAAGGGCACTACTACAAGTAGCAAGAAGCTACTAGTAGCAAGGTGCTTTACACTATATAGTAGCTTGTTACTACTAGTAAGGCTCCTTGCTACTACCCGCAAAGCTCTACAGGTTGATTCTGACACTTGCCACGTGAGACACACAGTAGACGGTGCCGCTGAGTAGGAGCAGCTTTGCCATGGAAGCAAATCAGCCAACGACGCAAACTTGGAAACGGGACAGCGGATGACTTGAGCGGACAGAATGCACAAGGCATTTTGCTATAATATATACCGGGGGTCGTGTATCGTGGCAATTATGACAAAGGCCATCTGCAAATATACCCTCCTCCTTGAACTGTGAAATCTATTGTGGTTTGAAGTCAGGCAAGAAACTTCTGTTCACTGTCTCTTTCATAATCTTCACGAGTGCCGCATGTGCATGGACTTCAACAAAAATAATCAATCAATGGAAAGTTCTTTTTGTCGAACTGACTCTTCTGCCCAGTCCCTTTTCGACACCGCAGGCCTGCGACAGACCGAGGCTACACTGCATGCGGCCAACTCCTAGGTGAAGTCTCTGAGTGTCTGCGATTCCAAAGCAATCTATCATGTTGATTCATGCTGATGATGAAGTATAATATATGTGGCCGGGCCCAACTCAAAAAAGAATTGCAAGGTGCGTAAATAGGAGGTTGGGGAAGCAATCCGATGAAAGCTGCCATTCTTTGCAGCCAGCAGAACACTCAGGCCCGTCGTTCACAGGGCACGTGTTGTTTTGTCAACTTCTGGAGCATGCCTCCTCAAGGCTCTTTGTTCAAATCACAAGCGCAATGTTTTCTTTAGTTATATAAGGAGGCTTGCAAAAGTAATATATACTGTAATTGGGATTTGAGCCGGGAGTTCTGAGGAGGGTTCATAGTTGCATCGTGCTAATCTTTGGGAGCAATGGCCACCTAGAAACACCCAGATGAGTCGCTGAGACAAGGTTGTGATTCCTGTATTGGTGTGATTCCTGCCCCTCCTCTCCTTCGACTCCTACAAGAACTGCAAAGAGACCAACTCACCATGGCGTGGCGCTTGCCCAGCTCCTTGTGTGGAGGTAGATCCGGTTGGTCAACCAGGCAATGGGAATGACACCTGGGATTTGCATCAATTGCCTCGAAAGCAAAGCCTCCCATTCAAAGGGAACTAAATTGACTATAAGTTTTTAGCTATACTAAGCATCAAATGCCAAATTCCAAAGCATCTTCAGCAAAACAATCAGCAATCTCTTTCAGGAAATCCAACGCCTCTGTAGCTCATTCGCCTGCACATGATGAGCGGGTTTTTGTTTGAATCTGGCAACACCCTCCAGTAACTGGGCGTTGCTTGTCTTGACCTGCAGACCCTAGGTACTTGAGCATCAATGGCCCAATGGCCCTCAATTAGGATAGTTGGCATAGTCAGGCAGGATCGGACGGATCAGAATGCCGAGAAATGATGGACTTCGACTTCAACATAGTGTTTCTTCAGCGCGATGGACAAGCATGAGTGCCCGTCTGGGGTGGTGATTTCTGACACTTCGGGCAATTTAGATTCGATCATCCTCAACAAAAACTCTTCCAAAGTTTCCACATGGCAGTTTTTCCATGTTTTTCCTCCATGCCTGATACCCTCCTTCTCGTCGGGCATGAGGCCGAACTTCTGGGCGACGCTCACCTGGGCGCGACGGATGAGCGGCGTCCGCCGGTCGTCACGGGTTGCCAAGATTCATGGCAACTGATGTATGGTCAACTCACCAGAGTGACCTTTGTTTGCCTACGTTGTCCTCACCCTTACTTAATTTGTAGGCACCCACTCCATTAAAGGTAGTGGACGCAGGATAGTTCATGTTTCTTCAAGGAAGCGCTGGCACATTTTTTGCGCGACGCTTAAAACTCCTTATGTGTGGTAAGCCTTCAAGGGTGGAATCGCCATCCACAGCGCCAGCAACCTTTTGGTGGTGGTGGTGGTTGTGGTCGTCGTCGTCGTCGTGTAGTAGTAGTAGTAGTAGTAGTAGGTAGTAGGTAGTAGGTAGTAGGTAGTAGGTAGTAGGTGGTAGTAGTAGTAGTAGGAGGAGGAGGAGGAGTAGGAGCAGTAGGAGCAGTAGGAGCAGTAGTAGTAGTAGCAGTAGCAGTAGGTAGTAGTAGGTAGTAGTAGT